GAACTGTTGTATTCTTTTTGAAAAATAAAAAATAAATAGCTCACTTGTCATTCATTTGTATCCTTAATTATCCATCCAACACTGAAAAGGTGGTCCTTGTGAAGAATCTCATCACTATATTCCCTCAGCTGAAAGTCATTTACAACAATAGTTTGCTGAAGATTAAGTTTGTTTTAACCAAGGTATAAGGTTTTTTTAGGTGTGATTTTATGAATTATCTATTCTGTCAACATTTGATGAATTAGAAAAATATTAATATTTTTAAATGTTAACAATTATTTTCTTAATGACATATTGTGCTAATGAAATCCTTGTAAATAAATGTCCAATGAATGTATTCTTGCATTCGATTTTTTGAATAAAAACCATATCCACCACCTGGTACTTCCAGTAATCGTCATTGACACACAATGTGCAGATATAACACAATCAAATGTTAATTCTGGTTAAAGAAATATAACACAAAATGTGCAGAAATAACAAATGAGTGTGTTCATCTTGGTTACACATTTATGACACACAATGTGTAAAATGTGCACATTGTGTGTTAGGGGCATGTAACACATTTTGTGTGTAAAAATGATTTACACATAAATAAACACAACACGTGTTGTCCCTGAGCACACTCTGTACAGTAGGTGTGTTGAAATTCAACACATGTTGTGTCATTTTTGACACATCCCTTCTAAGAGTATACAGCAGAGCTAGCAATTTTCGACAGATACAGCCCACTCAAAAATATATTGTTTTATATAAAATTAATTTATATATATGCAATTTTCGACAGATACAGCCCACTCAAAAATATATTGTTTTATATAAATTTCATTAATTTATATATATATATATATTTATATATATATTAGCTGTACACTTTACGAATATAATAGTTGTTTATGGACAAATTTACCATTCAATCTCGTCCAACTGATTTTGCTACCGTCACTCCTCGGCTCTTGGTAGTTCAGGCATTTATCAAACCTGGCAACTCCGGGTTTCCTGGCAGCTGTCAATCAAAGTCCAGGCGCGCGTGAAAAGTTTCTGGCACTTTGGGGCGGAGCCACTGGACTTTGATTGACAGCTGCCAGGAAACCCGGGGTTGCCAGGTTTGATAAATGCCTGAACTGCCAAGAGCCGAGCAGTGACGGCAGCAAAATCAGTTGGACGAGATTGAATGGTAAAGTTGTCCATAAAAAACTATTATATTCGTAAAGTGTACAGCTAATATATATATATATATATATATATATATATATATATATGATTCTGTTTTCTTCAAGGTTGTGTCTTCCTGGTCGAATGTACTTATTGTAAGTCGCTTTGGATACAAGCGTCAGCTAAATGCAATGTAATGTAATGTAATATACATTAATTTGATATAAAACAATATATTTTTCAGTGGGCTGTGTACGCACCTAGATTTTGCTGCCGTCACTGCTCGGCTCTTGGTAGTTCAGGCATTTATCATACCTGGCAACCCCGGGTTTCCTGGCAGCTGTCAATCAAAGTCCAGTGGCTCCGCCCCAAAGTGCCAGAAACTTTTCACGCGCGCGTAGACAGACTCCGCGAGGCTGACACTCCCGCGAGCAAGCAAGAGGGCTGTCTCTCTCGCGAGCGAGCGAGCGCAGAGCCGCTCGCGGGGGTTTAATCTGCGCGCGAGGGTCATTTTATGCGCGTGTAAAAGCACATTTTCCGCTCGTGAGTAGCTTGTTTTACGCGCTAGAATATTGACCCAAATCTGACTCCATACAACACAATATGCGCTCTTTTCTTCTCCTCCCTCGAGGCTCGCGCACGCGCAGCGCGCTCCCTGCCTGATCGCCGATTATCAAACTGACTCACAGCAGCCAGCAGGGCAAGACAGCAGCAGCCAGCGACTCGCGAGTGCAACACACACACGCGCATGATGGCTGGAGAAATTTCACAACTGGTCATTCAAATTTAGCGAACTGTGATGTGTGCAAGAAGACAGTTCGCTACTCTGGCCACTTTGTATTGTTATTTTTCATGTTTGCATTTGTCTATAAAAACTGTCCTGTCGTTATTCATGAAAATTAATTCAGATGTAGTCTATTTATGATGCTTTCAGCTAAAAAAATCATGTAATGCACATAGGTCATGCAGCTCTCCCCTATATGAAAGTACATAAGACGCTTTTCATTAAAAAAGTATCGATATCGGTATCGGCGATACTGGCCCTGATATAATTGGTATCGGATCGAATCCAGATTTTGTGGTATCGCCCACCCCTACTTTACATAGTCTATGGAAAATATGCCTTTGTTCATTTTCGCGCCTCTGGGCCAGTACCGCTGTACCTCCCGCCTTTGTTTAGGTCTGATTTTTCTGAAGCAAAGGAACCAGAAAGAGAAGGCAAACATTTAGGACCAGAGAGACACAACAGACTTAAACCTGTCGTAAAGGTAACGTTTGTTATATTACAGCAACACCTTTTTTCAACATAAACGTTAGCTTAGTTAAAGATTGAGTAACCTAATTGTATGTCCTGCTAGCTTAGTGAGCTAGCTAACGACCTAACGTCACTTTATTAGCTAGGAAGGAAATGGTAATGTTAAGGTAACATTAGATGATTTACTGTTAAACACAATATGACCTTAGACATTTTACTTTCAAAGGTGTTGTTGAGTTTAGATATGGCACATGTGTTTTTCTAAAGTTATAGCTAAATTATAGCTAAGTGTCAGGTTCACAAAGTCTCAGAGCTGTAATGGTAAGGTAAATGTAACGTGTTTGGTCTGAAGTATGCTAAGCCTGTGAGACCATTTATTATGTATGTTCCAATTGTATAACATCATTTATCATATAACATTGGATATAGTGTTTTTCATACATTTGAGCTGTAAAGCCGCGGTTTTACTACTAACTTGTAGTCAATCTAACTGTTTCCACTTATCCAATACATTACGCTAAGAATTGAGCTGTCTCTTCATCCTTACATTAAGCAATACATTTCTGCCATACCAATACCATATGTAGGTACATTACAGCAGGAGTCAATGTACCTAATAAAATCCCATCAATGGTGTTAATAATAGATGTTGCTCTTCCAGTGTGTATTTGTGTTTCTTATCCAGATCCCACACATGGGGCTAGAAGAAGTTTATTTTAAGAAATGTTACTCAAGAGTTCACCATAAGTGCACAGGTAGTGATGCTTTCTGGATGTTGTTTGGAAAAGAAAGTACAGCTTTGTCAAAATCAGTTAATACTGTCCATGATTTACAATAAAGGCTTTTTCATTTACGGGATTATTGCGTGTCAGGTGGCAAAATAGATTTTGGATACTGCTGTGATCTCATCTGGCAGTCGTCAAATTAGTGATGATGATCATGGCATTTTTCAAATGATCAGGCTAAATTTAACCCGTTAATCAGTCTATATTGAGCCCAATGAAAGGCTATAATGAGCCTATCAGAGTAGAAGTAATTTGCACAAAACATGGACAGATGGAAACAAACATAATATGGTAACTCAGGCAAAGGCAGCACCAATACTTTAGACACTGGAGAACCTTTAACAGGAGAGAGACATTCCAATTGATTAAAAAGAGGGTTTGTTATTTTGGAAAAATGAAACATTAAGAAACAGCTTGGATGGATGCTGGCATCTTTTCCTTAATGCAATGCAGGGCTATTTGATTTTCAATTATAAACAGTTATTTGATTTGAAAATCAACTTTGAAAAACTTTTTCCAGCCTGACTATTTAATTTATTGTTTTGGTTGTGTGTGATTTAATTAATTTATTATAATTTAATTAATTTGTTATATTTATTATATATAATTTAATATTATTTCACATTTCATTTGCAATGTTGAATGTTCAATAAAACGTTATGTTTGAATAATCAAGTGGCAAATGCCATAGTAAGGATGGATGATAGGCTAACTTAAAAAAAATATATATATATATATATTGTTTTTTATTCTCAATGCCATGCGATCTACCCACAATACCTTTGCGATTGACGTATTGGGCACTGCCGTAGAGGATGCTATTGCAGTAGTCGTGATGTGATGAATCAGGGTTTCAGCAGCAGAGGAGGAGAGTGATGGGCGGAGACAGGCAATGTTTTTGAGGTGGAAAAAGGCGGTCCTGGTGATGTGATTGATGTGGTGGTTGAATTTGAGCTGACTGTCGAAGATGACTCCGAGGTTGCGGATGTGAGGGGGGGGGAGATAGAGTGTGGCTGTCAATGGTGAAGTTGAAATTCTGGATGGCTTTGGTACGGGATGGGGGGCTGATGATGATGATGTCTGATTTGGTACCGTTCAGTTGGAGATAGTTTGTTTGCATCCATGTTTTTATTTCTGAGAGACAGTTGGTGAGAGTGGAGTGTGTGTGTTGGGGGTGATGGTTTTTGTTGAGATATAAAGCTGGATGTCATCGGCGTAGCAGTGAAATTGATGGTTGTGGCGACGAATTATTTTGCCAAGGGGGAGCATGTAGAGGATGAAGAGGAGGGGGCCAAGCACCGAACCCTGGGGGACGCCTTGGGACAGAGGAGCAGTGGAGGAGGTGCAGTTGTTGATGTTGATAAACTGATGTCTGTCGGTGAGGTAGGATTTCAGCCAGGAGAGTGCAGTGTCGGTGATGTTGAGTGATGATTGGAGGAGGGACAGCAGGATGGCGTGGTTGATGGTGTCGAATGATGCGGTGAGGCCGAGGAGGATGAGGATGTTCAGGTTGCCGGAGTCAAAGGAGAGGAGGAGGTCGTTTGTGATTTTGAGAAGAGCTGTTTCGGTGCTGTGTTTTGATCGGAAACCGGATTGAAATGGCTCAAAGAGGTCATTGGAGCTGAGTTGGGATTTTAGTTGTGAGGCAATGACACGTTCAAGTATTTTTGACAGAAAGGGGAGATTTGAGATGGGCCGGAAGTTGGACATGTGAGTCCACACCCATTTTTGAGAATGGGTGTGATAGCAGCCAGTTTGAGAGAGGGGGGAACTGATCCAGATCTGAGGGAGGAGTTAATGATAGTGGCAATATGTAAGTAGAAAACATAATTCGTTTTTTGATCATTAGAGGGATTTGTTTACAATAATAAAATATATAGAATATCACTACACTAAGGGTTTTTATTGTATTAGAAAAGCAAATATGTAGAAAGCTCAAATGGCATATTGCTCAAATATTGTCTGCAGTTACATCAGGAACAGTGTTTGAACACCAGAAGCGCATGCACTTTAGACCCTTGCTGTTACTATAATGAATTTGATTTGTGTAGTCTATTGAACTGTTCCAGCCCATACAACAAATGTGTGTGTTATGTTATTGTTTTGTTTTTGTTATTCATTATTAATTAGTTTTTTGCATTTTGAAACTCAATTGGCTTGAAATATATTTAAATGACCACTGTCTTTTTGAAAGCGTGTTTATGAAAGCATTTCAGTGTCTACATTGGTCACTCCAGAAACAATCCACACAGTCATTCAACCAAATTCAAAGCTTTAACTTCGTTTAATGATCCTAGTTTTAAAACGTATTCAACTGAATGTTAGTCATGTAGTGTATTTCATAGAACAACGCTCTGTTTTTCAGGTGTGGAGGTGAGAGAAGAAGAAGTGCAGCGCATCCTGAACACAACATTCTGTTTCTCTCCACCAGGTGGGTGTGATGTTTCAGGTGCTGCAGCAGTTGATAGTTTTATAATTATGTTGTACTAATCTTTCCCTGTTGGTCCTCTAGTCCGTATTAAAGGTGAACAATCTGATCTCAACACAAATGTAGTCCTATTTATTTGACATTATTCTTATTATTATTATTATCATATTGACCTTTTTCAGAATAACACATTATATTATATGATTAATTTAAACAGTTGACAAAGAACAAAACATTAATATACTACACAAATATAACAGAGTTCGGCAATACAAAACCTTCATACAAAATAATATTGTACAACACCATGTACTGAGTACAATACATTATCAAACAAACAAAATGTATTTGATATTATGGTAATGGAGAATAATAAGCCTTAAGATTAACACAACAGACATGCATAGTTCTCTTTAGGTAATTCAGTCCATGGGCAGTTTGTATGTAATCAGTTTAAATATCTAATACATTTTTTAACAATTTAGCAAAACATTTTTAACCGGCATTAATTGTGTTTGCAAATATACATCTGTAACTGACTTGCCTCAGCAATAACACCGAGAGGTGGTCCAAAAGCTAAACACTTAAAGAGCCTGTGACACGAGTTTCCCCCATCATCCAAACCATCAATTTGAGTAAATATTGTCCCCTTGAAAACCGTTACTGAACTGATTTTGGATATTTGTACTTTGATAACCATTAATCTGCCTTCAATGTTGACAATTTTCTGGATCTTCTCGGGGATTCTTCAAGTCCCGCCAAATTATGTGTGACGTCATTGCGGGCACCGTTCAGGATCCCAGCATCTGCATGTAAACGCACGATGGCGCACACAGCAGCAAGCTCAGACAGCGATGACAGTTTAATTTTGAACGTGTCTGAGAGCTCATATGAAGCTGAAGGATCGGTTTATGTTGTATCTGATAGAAGTTTAGGAATTAGGTGCGTCAATATGGGCGATCATACGGTCATGTAGCCAGTGGTGGAATGGGACTAAACATCAGCCCGGGACTGTCGACCGGCCCACTTCGGTACCGCTAGTGTCACAGGCTCTTTAAAGGAAATGCAGTGGGGGAATTCAGTCTTTCTTTACTTCATACCTATGATGATATAACAGTTTCTCAGAGACTACCCAGGCAGTGAGTATCCTGTGCTAACCATAAACAGGAGATCTTTTGTTGTTTCACACTAGCAAACAGGACTCCAAAAGCTGCTGATATATAGACACATATTTTAATATGATCATGGAATTGTAAAGAGTTAAAAAGAGACTGTCCTCACCAAAGATATGACAGCCGATGTTTTACTTTTCTATCGTTTTCTCTTCTGGCGGCCATGTGAATGATGAGTCTTATCCTAATTCCAGGAGTTAAAGCAGAAGTAACATGATGTTATAATGCCGCAAAACCTCTGCTGAAAGAGTTGAGAGAATGGATGGAAACAAAAAACATATTGAGCGCTGCTAAACATCTCCCACCAACAGTCATTTAACAATCACCACCACCAATGTCAACTATCCTAAGTAAATAAGGTTGTACGTCACCAACATCACATGCATCCTTTCTGAAGGTCAGATTAATAGAATTTTGAGGACAATCGTAGTGACGTGTAGTTCTTAGTTTAGAACATTTCTTGCTCTGTCTTTAAAGTGCTGAATCCTTTTTTGGTTTGGGCAGAATAGTCCATGAGCAGAAGCACCTTCAAAGTTTCGTTATCTGACTGTCACATGTGTTTCTTTTCCAGAGACATTGTGGAGATGTTTGACGGCTGCAATCAGGAGATTGAGATGAACGGAGACGAATCACCAGATGATGACTCTCAGAGCTTGTTGCGTGATCTTAATGTCTTCAAAAGCATAGGGGCAGCTGAGGACATGGAGGTCACCAATGCAGATGCACAATTTGGCAGCAAAGAGCAGGGAAAGAAAGTGGAGAGGGAGATAAATGGACCCAAACCACCGGTGCCAGGGACTTCCAGCTGTGCTCAGACTGCTGCAGGCAGCCAATCATGTCATTGTGAGTGAGAAGACATCTTGAACATAGAAAACTGGCCTTATTTTATAAGATCCTTCTAACGTTTCAATAAGAATCACAATCAGAAATCGTTCATTCGTCCCACATGTACAATGTTACGGCAAAGTGCAGGCAAACAAAATGTGTAGAATAACATTAAATGAAGAGGAAAGCACATGTTAAAAAAAATAAAAATCAAATAAGTACAAGTCCATTATAAAAACAAAAAGTATCATTATTATGAAAGTGAACATAGTAAAAGTGCAGCAGCAGCTGTTAAGAACTCAGGCACTTAGGAGGTAGGACCCAATTGCACGACCCGGGAGACAGAGGTAAAGTATTGGTAAGATACTTTATTTTCCAAAACAAAAAGCAAGATGAGCAAAAAATGGTCTAACTAATCTCAGATTGAGATGACAAAAAACTGAGGACAAAATGATAATCGCTCACGTGGTGAGGAACAAAACTTTTCTTTGAGCACAAAAGAGCATCGACCTGACCATGACAAGAAACAAGGAGCATAGACCTGACCAAGGCAAAAGACAAGGAGCATAGACCTGACCAAGGCAAAAGACAAGGAGCATAGACCTGACCAAGGCAAAAGACAAGGAGCATAGACCTGACCAAGGCAAAAGACAAGGAGCATAGACCTGACCAAGGCAAAAGACAAGGAGCATAGACCTGACCATGACAAGAAACAAGGAGCATAGACCTGACCAAGGCAAAAGACAAGGAGCATAGACCTGACCATGACAAGAAACAAGGAGCATAGACCTGACCAAGGCAAAAGACAAGGAGCATAGACCTGACCAAGGCAAAAGACAAGGAGCATAGACCTGACCATGACAAGAAACAAGGAGCATAGACCTGACCAAGGCAAAAGACAAGGAGCATAGACCTGACCATGACAAGCAACAAGGAGCATAGACCTGACCATGACAAGAAACAAGGAGCATAGACCTGACCATGACAAGAAACAAGGAGCATAGACCTGACCATGACAAGAAACAAGGAGCATAGACCTGACCATGACAAGAAACAAGGAGCATAGACCTGACCATGACAAGAAACAAGGAGCATAGACCTGACCATGACAAGAAACAAGGAGCATAGACCTGACCATGACAAGAAACAAGGAGCATAGACCTGACCATGACAAGAAACAAGGAGCATAGACCTGACCAAGACAAGAAACAAGGAGCATAGACCTGACCATGACAAGAAACAAGGAGCATAGACCTGACCATGACAAGAAACAAGGAGCATAGACCTGACCATGACAAGAAACAAGGAGCATAGACCTGACCATGACAAGAAACAAGGAGCATAGACCTGACCATGACAAGAAACAAGGAGCATAGACCTGACCATGACAAGAAACAAGGAGCATAGACCCTGACCATGACAAGAAACAAGGAGCATAGACCTGACCATGACAAGAAACAAGGAGCATAGACCCAGACCATGACAAGAAACAAGGAGCATAGACCTGACCATGACAAGAAACAAGGAGCATAGACCTGACCATGACAAGAAACAAGGAGCATAGACCTGACCATGACAAGAAACAAGGAGCATAGACCTGACCAAGGCAAGAAACAAGGAGCATAGACCTGACCATGACAAGAAACAAGGAGCATAGACCTGACCATGACAAGAAACAAGGAGCATAGACCTGACCAAGGCAAAAGACAAGGAGCATAGACCTGACCATGACAAGAAACAAGGAGCATAGACCTGACCAAGACAAAAGACAAGGAGCATAGACCTGACCATGACAAGCAACAAGGAGCATAGACCTGACCATGACAAGAAACAAGGAGCATAGACCTGACCATGACAAGAAACAAGGAGCATAGACCTGACCATGACAAGAAACAAGGAGCATAGACCTGACCATGACAAGAAACAAGGAGCATAGACCTGACCATGACAAGAAACAAGGAGCATAGACCTGACCATGACAAGAAACAAGGAGCATAGACCTGACCATGACAAGAAACAAGGAGCATAGACCTGACCATGACAAGAAACAAGGAGCATAGACCTGACCATGACAAGAAACAAGCAGCATAGACCTGACCATGACAATAGACAAAAACGAACTGACACTGAACACTGGGAGACAGGGGAATTTAAACACAGGGTAACTAGACACAGGTGGGAACAATCAGGGGCGGGGCTGACGCTGATGAGCACAGGAGACACAGAAGGGGTGACAGGTGAAAACAATTAGGAAATTAGACACACCAGGGAAACTAACGACAGACAGGAAAACACAGGGAAAAGAGCAGACAATATACAGGGAGGAAAACATGACAAGGAGAAAAGCAAAACACCCACTACCAGACACACAAAACTAAAAACGTGACACAACACAAGAATCGTGACAGCAGCCAGTGATAACAATAATTCATTGTAAAATAAAAGTGTATATAGCGCATACTATTACATGAACAAACTGTTATTGTGATTATGAAATATTTTACATTATGATACACAAATATTGAAATAAGAATAGAAACAAATAATAAATTACATTGGCAATAAAATAGAACAAAGTACATTTACAACACCGAACAAAGATATCTATGATTATTATACATATGTGTGTATATCTAGATACACATGATGTATATATATTTGTAAATACTACATTTTAGTTATTACTGTTATAACCTTTAATACCAATATAAATGATTATAGTTTAAATAGAAAACATAGTGGGTATAAGCATGTGGTCTGTTTAACAGAAAGCTGCTCTGTACGTGGTGGTACGTCAGCAAACACTTCTTCACTGATTGCCGCATGGCAGCAGTGTAAACAGGCGATATATGTCCTAATAACATATAAACATTGTGATTGAAATAACTTATTGGCCTTGATTCGTCATGTTTTATCGTCGTTTGTTTCTATATCTAAATTGTATTCATCTTCAAAGCAGCAAAGATCTCAAAGAAAGTGAGAAGCTTAAACAAGAAGCAACTGAACAAGAAAGATTCAATGGGAGAGACTATTCTGCACAAGGCATGCAGAAGGAGAGATCTGGCTGAGGTCAGGGCGCTCATTGAAGCGGGGATCAACGTCAACACAAAGGATAATGCAGGTTTGTCACAGCTTGGACACCTAATCACTTCTATATTCTGATATATGTGTTACTCTAATGAGTACATGTTCATTGACAGGCTGGACAGCTCTCCATGAGGCTGCTTTTGTTGGTGATAATGCAGTGGCTGAGGAGCTGTTGAAGGCTGGAGCTGATGTAAATGCTAGAAGCGATGATGGGATCAGCCCACTGCATGATGCTGTTTCCGGTGAACACTACCAGGTGAGGAAGAAACTAGAGTGCAGCTTTTGGTCACACATTCCACATAGAGGAACAAAGTCCTAGCATCAGTCTCTGACTAGATTCTGCTCTCACTGGCATTGGTCAAATTTGGCACTTGGTGAAAGAATTGAGCAACTAATGAAACTTTCTTTTCTTATGTTTGCCTCTTTTCTCTTTCTTTTCTTCTGGGATCAACAGGTTAGATTTGCTTTTGTTCCAGCAATGTCTGGACCGGACCGATTGACATTACAGCCTCTGTCCAAAACAAAGACAATCCCATCTTGATCATTTAGTTTTAGGGCTGGATGTTAAGCCAATTTTGTTATACAGCATATTGCATCAGCTGTGGTTTTAAATGATGTCAATCCCTGAGTTTTCTTATAATTAGAACGGCTGCTATTTATCACCCTGCCTCCATTAATCAAAAGAGCGTTTTTTTACCCAAAAGCTATAGGAGGTTCCAATTCCTGATATTGTGGAATGTATGTGTGTGTGTGTGTGTGTGTGTGTGTGTGTAGGTAATGACGCTTCTCCTCCAGCATGGGTCAAACAGCAGTCACAGGCAGATGGGGGGCCTCAGTGCAATGGACATGGCGATGGAGGAGAAAATGCAAGAGCTGCTCTCTCTCGGAATGTCTTCTGTGATACGTGAGCAGCCTTGTCAGGGCCCTGCACAGTACAGAAAACCAGGTGAGCAACCTTACATTACATTTCCATTCTCTTACACATACCACTGTGTACTTCACAACTCTCTGTGGAGCAAATGTGATGCCCATTGTTGGGCAACAAAACACACAGTAACTTTGTGTGTTTTTACTGACTAGTCATGATAACATCATTCTTTCAATTTGTGGATATGCCTGTCGCGAATCGCGATAACTAAAAAAGGAACTCGATAACTTTTCTGAGCTCGATAAATTGCCGTTTACATGCGTGTTTGTTTACATAAGGATGTGACCAGCATTTTAGCCAGGCACACTGTGTCTGCCGGCCACTCTACCGGCCAGGCGCGCTGTGGCTGCCGGTAGAGTGGCCGGCAGACACAGCGCGCCGGGCCGGCAGAGACCACTCTACCGGCCCGGCGCGCTGTGGCTGCCGGTAGAGTGGCCGGCAGACACAGCGCGCCGGGCCGGCAGAGACCACTCTACCGGCCCGGCTTGCTGTGGCTGCCGGTAGAGTGGCCGGCAGACACAGCGCGCCGGGCCGGCAGAGACCACTCTACCGGCCCGGCGCGCTGTGGCTGCCGGTAGAGTGGCCGGCAGACACAGCGCGCCGGGCCGGCAGAGACCACTCTACCGGCCCGGCGCACTGTGATGGGCGGGGCTCACACACAGCCAGGTCAGGACACTCCGCATGCAACAGTGTGTAGCAGCCAAATGAATAATATAGAGACAAGCAGGAGACAACGTGTGACTTACTCGAGGGGAATATGAAGTTAAATGGAATTGGTTGCAAAACCTAATTCCACATCTCCGGTGTGGGAATATTTTGGATTTAAGCCAAATCAACGAGGCGAACCTACGGACTGAATGAGCCAGGTGGTGTGTCGCATTTGTTTAAAAAAGGTAGCAACAAAAGCTAGCAATACGACCAACCTTAAACTGCACCTGAAACACAACCTACCCATTCCGTGTTCCCAGCTGGGAGCAAACAAGGCAGCTGGAGATGGAGAGCCCCCACCTTCCCGACTTACTTTATTTTTTAAAAACATTTTTTACTACTGCATTTTCACAAATGCAATTGCGTGTTTTGGCCACAAGAGAGCTCTGTTTTCCAGCCTGAGTCTATTTAATTTATTGTTTTGGTTGTGTGTGATTTATTTAATACATTTTTTATTATTTAATTGATTTGTTTTATTTATTATATATCATTTATATATTTAAATATTATTTCACATTTCAATGCAATGTTGAATGTTCAATAAAAAGGGATGTACTTGAATTATTATTATATATTATCATTATGTCAGTGGTCTGAAATGGTATTACAACGGTGCCGACAATATTATCGTTTATCGCAATAATTTCCGGGAAAATGTATCATCCAAGAAAATTAATGATTGTGACAGGCTTATTTGTGGATCTCTTTAGCTGGAATCTTTTGAAGTGTCAAATGTGCCCCCCATCTACATGACAACAATAATGTATGTTAATGTGAGCTGTTCAGAAATCCTGAGATTTAAGGCTTGCACAAAACGAAAAAATTAGTGTCAGTAATATGTACTGACAATAATTTGCTAGTGTATTATTATGATAACTTGCAGAGTTTATAAAGTATCAAAAGTTGTAACCAACAAACTTGTTTTCTATTATATACAGTTGAAGTTAAAGCTGATTTCACTGCAGGGTGCCCTTAATTCTGATCAGTGAGCACATTTTAAAGCAAGTCCAAACTGTTTTAACTATGTTTACTATACTTAAAGTTGTTCACACTAACTACAAAATATAACGTTTTCCCACAAATTGATTTTTTTTCTGCGAATAATGTTCAAATTCAATTTATTGCATGGTACAAGTTAACAAAGCCTTAAGACTTGTGATTTATTTCAGTTGTGGTTTAAAGCTGAAGTTTCTTTCAGCTGAAATGTCTTCTGAGGCTCCGTGCCACAACAGCATCTCTGCCAGCTGCAGTAAAGCATTAAGTGTACGAAACAAGGAGCATAGACCTGACCATGACAAGAAACAAGGAGCATAGACCTGACCAAGGCAAGAAACAAGGAGCATAGACCCTGACCATGACAAGAAACAAGGAGCATAGACCTGACCATGACAAAAACAAGTGAGCATAGACATGACCATGACAAGAAACAAGGAGCATAGACCTGACCATGACAAGGAAACAAGGAGCATAGACATGTGACCATGATCAAAGAACAAGGAGCATAGACCTGACCATCGACAAGAAACAAGGAGCACTAGACCTGGACCATGACAAGAAACAAGGAGCATAGACCTGACCATGACAAGAAACAAGGAGCATAGACCTGACCATGACAAGAAACAAGGAGCATAGACCTGACCAAGACAAGAAACAAGGAGCATAGACCTGACCATGACAAGAACAAGGAGCATAGACCGACCATGACAAGAAACAAGGAGCATAGACCTGACCATGACAAGAAACAGACATAGACCTGACCATGACAAGAAACAAGGAGCATAGACCTGACCATGACAAAAACAAGGAGCATAGACCTGACCATGAAAGAAACAAGGAGCAAGACCTGACCATGACAAGAACAAGGAGCATAGACCTGACCAAGGCAAGAAACAAGGAGCATAGACCTGACCATGACAAGAAACAAGAGCATAGACCTGACATGACAAGAAACAAGGAGCATAGACCTGACCAAGGCAAAAGACAAGGAGCATAGACCTGACCATGACAAGAACAAGGAGCATAGACCTGACCAAGGCAAAAGACAAGGAGCATAGACCTGACCATGACAAGCAACAAGGAGCATAGACCTGACCATGACAAGAAACAAGGAGCATAGACCTGACCATGACAAGAAACAAGGAGCATAGACCTGACCATGACGAAGAAACAAGGAGCATAGACCTGACCATGACAAGAAACAGGAGCATAGACCTGACCAAGGCAAGAAACAAGGAGCATAGACCTGACCATGACAAGAAACAAGGAGCATAGACCTGACCATGACAAGAACAAGGAGCATAGACCTGACCATGACAAGAAACAAGGAGCATAGACCTGACCATGACAAGAAACAAGGAGCATAGACCTGACCATGACAAGAAACAAGGAGCATAGACCTGACCATGACAAGAAACAAGAGCATAGACCTGACCATGACAGAAACACGGAGCATAGACCTGACCAAGGCAAGAAACAAGGAGCATAGACCTGACCATGACAAGACACAAGGAGCATAGACCTGACCATGACAAGAAACAAGGAGCATAGACCTGACCAAGGCAAGAAAACAAGGAGCATAGACCTGACCATGACAAGAAACAAGGAGCATAGACCTGACCATGACAAGAAACAGAGCATAGACCTGACCAAGGCAAGAAACAAGGAGCATAGACCTGACCAAGGCAAGAAACAGGAGCATAGACCTGACCATGACAAGAACAAGGAGCATAGACCTGACCATGACAAGAAACAAGGAGCATAGACCTGACCATGACAAGAAACAAGAGCATAGACCTGACCATGACAAGAACAAGGAGCATAGACCTGACATGACAAGAAACAAGGAGCATAGACCTGACCATGACAAGAAACAAGGAGCATAGACCTGACCATGACAAGAAACAAGGAGCATAGACCTGACCATGACAAGAAACAAGGAGCATAGACCTGACCAAGGCAAGAACAAGGAGCATAGACCTGACCAGGCAAGAAACAAGGAGCATAGACCTGACCATGACAAGAAACAAGGAGCATAGACCTGACCATGACAAGAAACAAGGAGCATAGACCTGACCAAGGCAAGAAACAAGGAGCATAGACCTGACCATGACAAGAAACAAGGAGCATAGACCTGACCATGACAAGAAACAAGGAGCATAGACCTGACCATGACAAGAAACAAGGAGCATAGACCTGACCATGACAAAAACAAGGAGCATAGACCTGACCATGACAAGAAACAAGGAGCATAGACCTGACCATGACAAGAAACAAGGAGCATAGACCTGACCATGACAAGAAACAAGGAGCATAACCTGACCATGACAAGAAACAAGGAGCATAGACCTGACCAAGGCAGAAACAAGGAGCATAGACCTGACCATGACAAGAAACAAGGAGCATAGACCTGACCATGACAAGAAACAAGGAGCATAGACCTGACCATGACAAGAAACAAGGAGCATAGACCTGACCATGACAAGAAACAAGGAGCATAGACCTACCATGACAAGAAAAAGGAGCATACCTGACCATGACAAAACAAGGAGCATAGACCTGACCATGACAAGAAAACAAGGAGCATAGACCTGACCAAGGCAAGAAACAAGGAGCATAGACCTGACCATGACAAGAAACAAGGAGCATAGACCTGACCATGACAAGAAACAAGGAGCATAGACCTGACCAAGGCAAAAGACAAGGAGCATAGACCTGACCATGACAAGAAACAAGGAGCATAGACCTGACCAAGGCAAAAGACAAGGAGCATAGACCTGACCATGACAAGCAACAAGGAGCATAGACCTGACCATGACAAGAAACAAGGAGCATAGACCTGACCATGACAAGAAACAAGGAGCATAGACCTGACCATGACAAGAAACAAGGAGCATAGACCTGACCAAGGCAAGAAACAAGGAGCATAGACCTGACCATGACAAGAAACAAGGAGCATAGACCTGACCATGACAAGAAACAAGGAGCATAGACCTGACCATGACAAGAAACAAGGAGCATAGACCTGACCATGACAAGAAACAAGGAGCATAGACCTGACCATGACAAGAAACAAGGAGCATAGACCTGACCATGACAAGAAACAAGGAGCATAGACCTGACCATGACAAGAAACAAGGAGCATAGACCTGACCAAGGCAAGAAACAGGAGCATAGACCTGACCATGACAAGAACAAGGAGCATAGACCTGACCATGACAAGAAACAAGGAGCATAGACCTGACCAAGGCAAGAAACAAGGAGCATAGACCTGACCATGACAAGAAACAAGGAGCATAGACCTGACCATGACAAGAAACAAGGAGCATAGACCTGACCAAGGCAAGAAACAAGGAGCATAGACCTGACCAAGGCAAGAAACAAGGAGCATAGACCTGACCATGACAAGAAACAAGGAGCATAGACCTGACCATGACAAGAAACAAGGAGCATATAGACCTGACCATGACAAGAAACAAGGAGCATAGACCTGACCATGACAAGAAACAAGGAGCATAGACCTGACCATGACAAGAAACAAGGAGCATAGACCTGACCATGACAAGAAACAAGGAGCATAGACCTGACCATGACAAGAAACAAGGAGCATAGACCTGACCATGACAAGAAAACAAGGAGCATAGACCTGACCAAGGCAAGAAACAAGGAGCATAGACCTGACCATGACAAGAAACAATGGCATAGAACCTGACCTGACATACAGAAACAAGGAGCATAGACCTGACCATGACAAGAAACAGGAGCATAGACCTGACCATGACAAGAAACAAGAGCATATACCTGACCATGACAAGAAACAAGGAGCATAGACCTGACCATGACAAGAAACAGCAGCATAGACCTGACCATGACAATAGACAAAACGAACTGACACTGGAACACTGGGAGACAGGGGAATTTAAACACAGGGTAACTAGACACAGGTGGAACAATCAGGGGCGGGGCTGACGCTGATGACACAGGAGACACAGAAGGGGTGACAGGTGAAAACAATTAGGAAATTAGACACACCAGGGAAACTAACGACAGACAGGAAAACACAGGGAAAAGAGCAGACTATACAGGAGGAAAACATGACAAGAGAAAAGCAAAACACCACCACTAACCAGACACACAAAACTAAAAACGTGACACAACACAAATCGTGACAGCAGCCAGTGAATACAATAATTCATTGTAAAATAAAGTGTATATAGCGCATACTATTACATGAACAAACTGTTATTGTGATTATGAAATATTTTACATTATGATACACAAAATATTGAAATAAGAATAGAAACAAATAATAAAATTACATTGGCAATAAAATAGAACAAAGTACATTTACAAACCCCGAACAAAAGATATCTATGATTATGATACATATGTGTGTATATCTAGATAACACATGATGTATATATATTGTGTAATACTACATTTTAGTTATTACTGTTATAACCTTTAATACCAATATAATGATTATAGTTTAAATAGAAAAACATAGTGGGGTATAAGCATGTGGGTCTGTTTAACAGAAAGCTGCTCTGTACGTGGTGGTACGTCAGCAAACAACTTCTTCACTGATTGCCGCATGGCAGCAGTGTAAACAGGCGATATATGTCCTAATACATATAACATTGTGATTGAAATAACTTATTGGCCTTGATTCGTCATGTTTTATCGTCGTTTTGTTTCTATATCTAAATTGTATTCATCTTCAAGCAGCAAAGATCTCAAAGAAAGTGAGAAGCTTAAACAAGAAGCAACTCACAAGAAAGATTCAATAGGGAGACTATTCTGCACAAGGCATGCAGAAGGAGAGATCTGGCTGAGGTCAGGCGCTCATTGAAGCGGGGATCAACGTCAACACAAAGGATAATGCAGGTTTGTCACAGCTTGGACACCTAATCACTTCTATATTCTGATATATGTGTTACTCTAATGATACATGTTCATTGACAGGCTGGACAGCTCTCCATGAGGCTGCTTTTGTTGGTGATAATGCAGTGGCTGAGAGCTGTTGAAGGCTGGAGCTGATGTAAATGCTAGAAGCGATGATGGGATCAGCCCACTGCATGATGCTGTTTCCGG